TTATCATATTAAACATTATTTAGCATATTTTTGGTCCTAAAGACATAATATAATTGACACTTAACATTAACCAGCTGGAATGGAAGAGAGGCGCAAGTTGCTTCTGTATAGAGGAAGATGGAAATTGAAAAATTCAATTTGTGCCCTTTAAAGCGCATGCACGCTTATTATGCATGATCCAACAAAAAGGTATTACTTATTAATTAAAACTTGATCATACTTTAGATGGTATGGAATTTGTAGAACTAAAGAAAGGATCGGATATGAAAGGTGATAATATCACGTGTTACAAATAAAGTAAAGGATAAAATTCTCATCACATAACCACAACCTCCTAATAAAAACCAAGAGAAATACTAAATGATCCTCACAAATGTATTTCTCATTGATTTTTAGGCCTAAGAGGACCTCCTAATTAAATATCAACGAGTGAAGTAGTAATTTGTTGAGCATTATGATGATAAAATGTGTTATAAGTTTTGCTAGGCCATTATGCGTTGATTTTTTTTTTTTTAATCAAGAATTGTCCAAATATAAAGTGAGGATGGGCATGAAGAGCACTGGGGAAGAGAATTTAATCAAGTCAATGGAGGCCACATTGTTGCATCCACATGTAATAAAAAATGATGAGCATACTAATTGAGCATCCACACGTAAGAAAAAATGATGAGCATACTAATTGAAAGTAATTTTAAAACTTTCTATACGAAGAATTCAAAAAACTAAATTTAAATTTTTTTTCCTGAATTTGTATAATAATACACATATAATATATCATTAGAAAGGTTTCAAAACATGCAATAAAAGCCTTAATTTCCATCCAATTAAGCAAAACAATAGCACGAAATAATAACAGTAAGATTATGTTCTTAGGGATCTTATTGTCATTTATGATGCTCTGATATTATGTAAAGAATCATTTACTCAAAAACTTAAGATTTTTGGTGGAGGAGATATTATCCATTTCATATTATATTTTTCTAATATGCCCAAACAAGAGTTCAATAGGCTTAAAGGGTGGACAATACACAAATCTATATCTATGTTAAAAAACTCCATAATGTCTAATTATTTGTTAATAGATTAAGGGCGGTAAGAATCGAACTCGTGATCACTTAGTCATATAGACTCTGATATCAGTATTGGGTAATGGAGGAGTCTGTGGTAGGGCATAACTACTATAATGATGGGCTAAGTGACAATCCACCAGAATCAATGCGCTCGATATCACATCTCAACCCAAATCATTAAAGCGTTAGGTTTATGGGTCCTTCTAGTTATATGTTTCTCACTTAGCCTATTTTTTTAACTGTGTGAAATTTTACTACTCACACTTAGATTCCCAACATCTAAGGATCTGTTTGATTGCATTCTGATTTTTTTGTTCTTAAAATTATTTTGTAGAATAGTTATGGAAACAAGTGTTTTCTATGTTATTTTTTGTTTTGAAAGTTAAAAGTCAAAACACAAAACAAAAACAACTCAAACATGTTCTCTAAAACAAAAAAACAGTTACATTTTTTATTTTTATTTTTACAAATCAGTCCTTATCAAACGATTTTTTTTATTCTGAACACCAAAAAACTATTTTTAGAAACAGTATTCACACAAGTCTCTCACTTTTAAGCCAACTTGACTGCATTTGACTCTAATTTTACATGGAATATGGATTATTAGGTGTGGGATGATCCTATATGGTCTAGTTCACAAATTTAATAACATTGATCCAAAAATTTGAAGAGAAATTTCAACCTTAGCTTTATATGAATTTTTTTTAAGCTTGAAAAATGATGACTATAAATTGAAATTTTCTTTCAATTTGATTGTGTGTGTACATATACCCAACTAATTTGGGATAAAGGTGTTTATCCGGTCCAAGAGGATCATGATTAACATGGCATCGATCTAAGAATCAGGAGTATCTACGGAGGAGATAACCACATATGATGGCAGATTATTGTGTAAAAAAAAAAGGTTTGAAGCCAATGAGAGTTGTGTGTGTGTATACAGACAATAAAGAGGCTCGAGTTTCAGAATTGTGTACCATTGATATTTAACCCTTTATTTATAGAGAAAATTTATTTTTTTGGAGATTAAACCCAATATCTCCTAAAACCTGTAGGTCCAATACAATATTGTTGATTATAGATATATTTATTTATACATAAGTACAAGTATATGCATAGCTAGCAATAATTTGAAATTATCATAAACTTAAGTGGGGTAAGAAAAATATGAAAAATAGTTTTTTTTTTTTTTTAATATATGTCCTTTCAAGTTTTCGTGAAATTATTTAAGCTTACATTAAAGTTAAACTTCTTGTTATCAAAAAAAAAAAAAAAAAAGTTAAACTTCTTACTCTTTCACCGAATATTTTCACCAACTTCTCAATCATATTTGAGCACTATTTTGATTAGTTACTGATCTGATAAAATATAGGCACAATAGTTAGAGGCTCAAGAGGACCCAGAGGTTGTGGGCACAACATCCTCATCGCGCGGACCATCACGCTAAGCTGCAGGGTAAAACTTAAAGACTAAGGAAGGACGTAGAGATTTGATAAGGTCCATTGTGCATAAGAGCCAGTAAATTAAAGATGGGATAGCTTCAGCTTGCCACTACTCTAAGAAGATAGACTAACATCTAGACTTATTCATAAATGAATAGCTTGAAGGGCACCAATTATGACAGAAGAGCAGCAACCCTAAATCACCAATAAAAAGAGATGCCGCCTACGAAGGATGACACCTAGCACACGATAAATACAGAGGGTCAAATCCAGGTACATCATCTCTCAGTTAAACAAGATACACCTCGCATTGATACTGACTTGAGTATCGAAGTGTCTTGCAGGTACCCACTCCAGTCACTTCCATTTAGGTCCATAATCTTCAACCTTCAACCGTGTGTGATTTGACCCATCCTATCTTGGACTGGTCAGATCAGTTACCAATCAGGGCGCTCTCCTAACAATTGCTTCTTTTGGGTTCGAACCTTGATCCTCGTGGAAGAGCGACTCACTTACCATCATGCTTCACTTTTGTTGGTAGCTAGTAAATGAAAATAAATTTTGTTCATAATTGACAGCAATAAAGATGAGAATAAATCCTTTCCTCGAGTATTAATTCATACATCAACTGTCACAATTTTAATGATACAGCTAGTAAAATAAAAAAGAGAAAACAATTATTTTGACTGTGATCATTAATTTGTTAATGAATGACATAAACATATTAAATTAAGACATGAGATGATAATTTCCAATAAAAATTGAGTGTAGGGATAAGTAAGCTGCACACACAAAACTCCAAAAAGATAATTATTGGAATACTTATTAGTGGCAACTGTACTCTCCTTAATTTCACAACAATTTTTGTGTAACGATGGCCTAATTAAAAAAATAAAAATAATAAATGGATAAAAAAGTAAGGAAGGGTATTTTTCATTTTAAGAGAATATCCTTTTTAATTGAATATCTTATAAATTAAGAAGAATAAAATAAGAAATTATCATGTAATAGTTTTGAACCAGAGGGTTCAAAAATGTGCCCATGGAGAGTGTAGTATATTGATCTATAGGTACACCCAGCAGCCATGATATAGATCAGCTGTTAAAGCTTCTTATGCATGTGAATCAAGGGGGAGTGTGTAAGAGTAGCTCAGGTGATTCTCCATTTGTGCAGAGTAACTGCATATGAAGTTAGTAGAGAAGAAGATTGTCCTTCCATGTGTGAGGGGTATTTAGAGAGGAGATATCCCTTTCAACCATGGAAAAAAGAGTCCAAAGAGCTGTCATCTAGCCATCCTAACCTTTTCAAGTTAGGCATGCTAAACCCACTAGGGGCAGCAATGCACGGGGAAGAGTAAGAATCCTTTGTGACAAGGGTGTCCTCTAGAACTTTCTAGGTGGGAGCATTTGATATTGGGCCCAATGGACTGGGCCTAAAAGGGACTATCAGTACAATTTTTTCTAATAAAATCTTATATTTTGATTCTCCTCAATTTAATTTGAAATTAAAAATATATAGTATTTTCCTATACAATCTCATCCATCTAAACGTAACAAAAACTGATTGTTATAATAAATAAATTGAAGATAAGTTTTGTATTGAGGATAAATGAAAAATATGAAGAAGATCGACTTTCTTTTGTTAAATGTATTTTGAGTGTAAACACAAATCGGAGAGGAAGATCAATTAAAAACTGAGTGGTGGCCATAGTCATCAAACCAAAAAGCAGATAAAATGAATGTATTCCTTCTCCCCAATGTTAATTTGTAATGAATGCCCACATCCCCCACCCGCACCTCTACCCTTTCTTTTTCTTCTTAACTAATTGCTTTTTATCTTTGACATAATTCTAACTCATATGGTGTTTGGGCTTTCGTATGGGGATTTGAGATTCACACCTTGATCAATATCTATAATAATAAATTTGAAGAAAATCACATGTCTACTTTAGCTTATTAAAAGTTAGTATACGCTATTATAATATATATATAAGCACCTCCAACTCCAAGATAATTTAATTTATGCTCGAGGTTCTCGTTTACCCAAAAACTGTACAAGGAAAAAATATCTCGTAAGTTATTGAAGGCGATATATGCAAGTAGCCCGCATCACCATGGTACAGTTTTGCATTAAATTTTAAAAACAAAAATTGCATTAAATTGCTGGTTAATTATTTCATAGAACAAGTTACCATAATTTGCTAATGGTTCAGAGGCAACAGGCTCGTTAATGCATGCTGCTCCTCTTCTTCTAGTTGAGCAAATTTCCTCACTTTTCGGTGTTTGAGGAAGCATGATTTTTTTTAGTTGGTAAAAAAAGTGTAGCAGTGTAATGAGAAACCACAGTAGGTGAGAGGGTTGATGTTGTTCCTTTTAGCTAAATCACACATTTCTTAATAGTGAAACCTCAAAGTACATAGAGGAAAGAAACCAAAAAAGCTGTTAGATGTCATTGTCAAAGCCCTTCAAAAAGTTGTGGGTAGAATAGATGGCTATTGAGAGTTACCTCTCTATCATCCATGACCTTAATCATAGCTCATCACTAGCAACTAGGGTTATTAAACAACTTCAAGAGTATATATTAGAGAGGAGAAAGTTAAGGGGTTGGTTGAACTCTCAAGACATGACTCAAAGAGTTGGAGTTCGTGACAAAGTCCTACGTTTGCTTTTGTGGGGCTAAAAAACGACCAAAAGATCTTTAATCTCTACTCTGAGCACACCCTCCCACGCTTTGCAGAAGCATCAAAGAGCTCTCATAGGCCAAAGGTACCATTTTTTTCTCCCTCACTTTGTTTCCACAGTTTCTTTTTTGCAAGCCTTCTGAACCCCATGTGACATCTCTTCAGCTCAATCAATAAGTTATATCACAGAGTTCAATGTCCTATAGTAGTTTACGTTTTTTACCCTCCCACTACTATCAATTCAAGTTGAAAGTTGAAATTCTACATATTCTTCAAAAAAATAAATTTTTTGGGATGCCCACATAGAGAAACTAAAAATCTACAAATTTACTATGTACTTTTACTCTCTTTGTAGATAAAGGCCAGACAATTGAGTCAGTCATAAATCCCATAAAGAAAGCATTGAGTAATTAACTTATGTTTGTTTATATTCTTTCATATGGTTTTACTAGTGTTATTGGATATGGAATCTTGAGGGATTTCAATTGCAGGTTTTTGGTTTTTTGGGATCAGCAGCAGTGGCAGAATTCAGTGCCCCGAGCAGCTACAGATGAAGCTCAACAAGCAACAACATGAACAAAACATATAAGAAATCCAAATCCCATTACAAGAGCAAAAGAGGCCAAACAAAAGCACAAGAATCACAATAGAAGAGCAAAATTTGAGCATACACATTCACTATTAGTGTCCTCATCAACTAGTCCAAACCCAACAACAGTTTCATCATATGCAGAAGGCACAACAGAACCACCACCTCAGGAACCTAATTTCAAGGCACAAAATATAAAGTGAGGAATGGGAATGAAGAGCACTGGGGGAGAGATTGTTCAAGTACAAGGAGGCCACATTGTTAGAGCCACAGGTAGAAAAGATCGTCATAGTAAGGTTTACACTGCAAAAGGTCCTCGTGATAGAAGGGTTAGGCTATCAGCACACACAGCCATTCAATTCTATGATGTTCAAGATCGTTTAGGCTATGACAGACCAAGCAAAGCTGTGGATTGGCTCATCAAGAAGGCCAAGTCTGCCATTGACAAGCTTGATGAGCTTCCTCCATGGAACCCAACTCCTAATAACACCACAGAAGCCACACAAGAGGGAGATCAAAATGCAGGGTCAAGTGAAATGGTAATTGCAGAACAATCTGAGTCTTCTGGTTACAATTTTCAGCTCCAAAGGCAATTAGATGAGCACCAAGATAACCATCACTCAGCATTCCTTCCATCACAAATTGACACTGATGCCATAGCTTTCTTTCCCACAACATCTGCCACTTCCTCCATCAATTTTCAAAGCTACCCACCTGACATAATCTCTAGAACAAACAACTCCTCAGAGGATCTTGGTCTATCTCTTCATTCCTTCCATGACCCTGGTTTGATTCATGGGCAATCCCAAGCAGGTGCAAATCAAACACCTTCAAATAACCAAACCCTTTTTGCTAGCTCAACTCCCATTGGTTTTGATCCTAATTACCACAGGATTGTGACTTGGAACAATGATGCAACCATAGATATGAACAGAACCGGGTTCATGGTCAATTCAACTGCATTTCTAGGCCAAGGTTCTGCATATTCCCAAAGGGGGACCCTTCAGTCCAGTTTTTCACCATCACTTCGTCCTTGGAATGACATTCCAATGGCTTCCTCAGAACATCACAAGTCCCAACCAATTCACCAAGCTTCCATCTTTGGAAGCAGGTTTCTATCCGATGCATTGCCAGGGTTTTGCATTCCTGCTAGAATTCAAGGTGAGGATGAGAGCCATGGAGTTGCTTCCGATAGGCCATCCTCTTCTTCACCTCATTCTCATCACTGACCACAAACATGAACTGCACAATGCTGCAGTCTTGCTTTTCTATCAGGTACTACACTCATTGCTCATTTTTTTTTCTTTTCTTTTCTTGGACCAGTAATGGTGAAAATAATATCAAAGAAGGGAAATGGACTGCATCATGAGGTTTGCACAAAGATGTCACATTTTGTTTTTAATGGAACAAAGAATAAAAACTCATCAAGGCAATTCCCATGCAAAGTTGCAATTTAAGTAACAAAGCTAATAGCCCCCACAGACTACTTAAATTTCTCTCATGAATCTTGTTGTGCAGGAGCATTGTCTACTAGATTTGACAACGTGGGAAGATTAAGATGGACATGTTTTGATGATCTGCAAAATTTGTTTGGTTGGATTGAACTTTTTTATGGCTTTCTTTTCTCTTTTTAATGCAGCCATTATTGGTGCTTTATATGTTTTTTGTTTAACGTTAAAAATGGGTTCACTACTTCCTCGAATCAATGCTGCTTGATATGTTTTTGTATTAATCAATATGATACTTTGCTCAATTAATATATGGCTTTGAGCTGCATTCCGTGGTTATAGACCTCATTGTTTTGTTAATGTCGAGAATAGCATAGTTCATCCATATCAAGTGAACAGCAGAGGTTTCATGTCTATTCTTGGTGAACCCCACTTGAAGAAAAACATAATCTAGTATGGTTTTGATTTGTTCAGTTATTCTCTTCTATAACAGAAAGTGATTTCGTGTTCCTTTTTCCTTGTCCCCCAAGTACATTTAAAGGAGCACTTTTAAAGTCAAACACTCTCTTAAACCATTTGGCAGCGTATTTCTGTGTCTAATTCAATTTCAAGAAACAATGTGAATGAGGAGGCTTGAAATTTCTAATCTAATAGAGTGAGTTATCCCCATTTTCATCCCTCAAAATTCATGTGTCATTACTTTTAGTCTTTTAAAGATTTTTGTTATTTTAGCTTCTCAATCATTGGAAATATTGCCTCATTAAACTTGAAAAGTCAAACCACCCTTCATTCGTACGCATGAAGAATCAAACCAAGAAAACCACTCAAACCCATACACCCCTATAACAAAATGACCCAATTTCTAAAACATTAGGACCCATGAGCCACTCTTAACAGCACCCAAAGACCACAACCACCATGTGATTTTGATTTCTCAAAGATTCATGTGTCAATCAATGTGTCATTACTTTAGCTTTCAAAAATTCATGTGTCATTGCATCAATCTCTCAGATTTATGTATGTCATTAGATTTGTCTTTATACAACCATATGTGTGGGCGTTAGGTGACATTACCATGTGGATGCTTGCTTATGTAGCTTTAAACGGGCCACATAAGCATTCAACGTGCTATACTCCTTTAAAAGAACTTAAATGGTGGCACAAAGCGTAAATATTTGATGGACAAAATGGGAGTGAACTACTGACATTCCATTGCATTTAGCATGTTAGCTAGCTATGTGGGGGTGGTTTCAGGAAATTAATTTATTTCCTTTTGCTCATTTATGCAATCGTACATATAATTATTGAGGCAGCACAATGAATAGTTAAACTATGTCCGTTTCAAGAGCATCTATCGTAATCAAATTGTCAAAATATGTAAAATTTAATAAGAAATGTTAAAACAGTGTAAAAGCAAAATAAATTAAAAGACTAGGTATTTCATACTCGAATAGCTATGCTTCCGGTGCGGCAATGCAGTTCATCCACAAAGCTGAAAGGGATTTTGGTATTGTTTGAGATATATAATATAAAAGTTATTAAAGGGTATTTATTAGCTTAAACTTTTAGGTGAGATGATTGTTTATTATGGTATCATATACTTCATAACTATAGGATCACGAGTTTCATCTACTTTTTTGTGCAATTAAATTAGTTCTTACATGAGAGGCGTGTTAGCTAAATATAATATAAAAATCATTAAAGACATGTCACTTTACATATGATTTAGAAAAAACAAAACAAAATAAAAATCCTAAAATACTAATAAATAGAAAACCATAAGGTATAAGGTATCAATTGTGATACCTCCGAAGAAGCTTCATGTATTTAGTTATCAAAATGATATTGGATATATCATTCAGAATGACCAATATTTGCAGATCTACTAATGTTGGTCTATTTGTCGGACTTCTAAACAATACGATGTTCATGGTTATTGGGCTCCTGTTAATCAAGGAAGAACGACGTTCTATCTTCTGTCATGTTCAGGCGATTAATTATTTCTTTCACGAAGAAACTCTGGGACTTTCCTTAATACACGTATGATTTATAAAAATTTCATTTTCATATGAACTTGATTTAAGTCGTAGATGTTCATAATTTATATATACAGAGTCAGTGATCATTACGTGTTTTATGAAAGAATATTAATTATAGTTTGACTTGCGATTGGAAATATAAATTAAAATAACTGGAATTGCTATATATGAGAAATATAGAGATGGAAAAATATAACTGACTTTTCAAGATGAAGTCCATACAACAATATCTCAATTTTTTAATGGGTTACCTTTTTTGATTAAATATTTAACGGCTTGTCTTCTTACGAGTGATTGGTTAATTTTGTATATTGTTGATAACTCATGTTTTGTTGTTGTGTTGTATCTGATGTATTCAAGTAGCACACTTCTTAATTAATTTCTCCGTATGTGACGACATGTGGGCCAGGTGAATTGTGGGATTACTTTTTGACTTTTTGCAATTCTTTTAATTTTAATAATAATAATAATAATAAAAGAAAAAGTATTTCTCCAGTTAATGGAGACAAAGTTTATCTCCAGTGAGCTCAAAACGATATTATTTTTTGTTATAAAATTAAAAAAATTATAATGACAAAGACTAATATAACCCTGCAATATATTATAATTACAAAAACACTTTAATTTTTGCTTCAAAACGACGTCATTTTGAGTTCACTAAAAATAACTTTATCTCCGATAAGCGGAGAAATCTTTTATCCTGATATAAACTCGTTATATGCGAGTTCACGAGTGAATTATTTAGTAGACTTGGTTTGTTCAATAAAGAGGGGTTTTTTAATAATGGAATTGTTTTTTTCATTTAACACAAGAGAAAAACAATTTCCTATAAACACAAATGAAAGAGAGAAAAAAATTAAAATAAGTCACATATTCAATTTGTATCAAGTGTTTAAAATAATAATATAAAGCAACATAAGATTATTATTTTTCTTTTAAAAAATTTAAAATTTCCTCATATATGTCTAGTTTTTTTTGTTTGGAGTTACCCAACCCTAATTATCTCTTTGAGACGAGTTGGCTCCTTCTGATATCCCCACGAGCTTCGACTCTTTGAGCCTATGGGACTAATCCGGAGTGCGGGAGAACAATGATGGCTAAAGATTCAACCTCCTCCCCAAGAATACATTCAGCGGGAATATGTCTTAGTTTTTTTTCCCCTAGTCTGATGGTTTATTGAACTATCCACAGTAAGGCCAGAGCCAAAACACTCGATATGAGCATTGAACATATATATGTAGGACTTTTTCCAAAAGCAGAAAAATGAGCTTATAATAACTCTACATCCGTGACTTATCTTTCTGTTATGTTCATATGTTCACGAAGCATGATTATTCAACAACAACATATTACCTTAGTATTACAGGAATATATACTCATTTAATAAAAATAGGAAAAAAATGAAATTTAAATGACAATAGTTATAAAAAATTGAAAAAAATATTAAAGATGGGGTCCACTATCTTATTAAAAATATTAAAAAATGACAATATATATTATTTATCTTGTGTTGCATAAGATAAATATCTTATGCAATAGAGATAAGATAGTGGATCCACTATCTTTTCTTTCTTTTCTTTTTGGGTTTACTTTTTCTGTAGTTATTGCAGATAAATTATCTGCAGTAAGCCCAATATGACGTCGTTTTGGGATAGAAATCATGGTTTTTTGTAATTTTAATTTATTTCAGGGTTATAATAGTCTTTGTATTTATAATTTTTTAAGATTTCAATACCAAAACGAGGTCGTTTTGGAAATAAATGCAGATAGCTTATCTGCAGTAACTGCAGAAATATTTTTCTCTTTCTTTAAAAAAAATAATAATGAACCTTACTATTTTGTCTCTATTGCATAAGATAATTATCTTATGCAACATAAGATAATTATTTCCCTTAAACTTTATACTATATGGTCCATGAATTGGTTTTACATTTTATACTAGTATATTACTCGTGCATTGCACGGAGAAAAAAATAAATTGGTTTGTCTGTCTCGTAAAAGTGAACACAAATTTAAAAGTATATTGCTGAATTTTATTTAAATCAATACTATGAGGTACCTAACTCTAGCTTTTTGTACATAAAAAAATGACAAATATTTGAGTTAGTACGTTCAATATTCTAACAAATACTTCAAAGTTGAAAGTGAATATGATAATTCAAAAGATCATTCATTAGCTTAATTGCATAAGTATAAATAATTATTCACAAAATATATATATATATATATATATATATATATATATATATATATATATATATACATAAGCATATATTTAATGCATCGTATTTAATCTCAATAATACTTCAACTCTACCAACAATAATTTGATGAAAAGTCAACTACTCACTGAATTGGAAATAACTAATAATAAATAACATTAAAATAATGATATATTGCAAAACATTGAAGGACCATTCCTCTTAATAAAGTAATTAATAAGAATAAATAATTATTTTTTTAATTCAAACGAAACTCTACTTCATGTATAAAGTTCTGTACTTGTGGGCTTAGTGATTACTTGACTGTCCACCAAACTTTGCAAATGCATCTTGTTTGATCCTTTAATATAAAATGCATATGCTATTGTATTAGCTTGTCCTATAGTCATTCAAAAATTACGTAATTTGACTCAGCTTCTTTTAGTATTTCTCGGAGATGGACTTTCATTTATCATAATATGATTGTTCATTTTGTTTAGATGCTTGTTTCTGAAATACTTACAGCAGTAAATCCAATTCTCTTAGTCATACAAAAACGGGTTTGTTAGACAATAAATATAAGAAAAAAAAAGTGTTAGCAGGCGGGGTGGAGGGCCGTGCCCATTTTGCCATCTCTAACGGTCAACATTTTATATAAGCATGTAATAGATTTTATAATTAACCACAAAAAAGGTTCTTATAGTTGCGTCTAGATTACTATCTATCTATGTTTTCTATAGGTGCCTGTAAATTGACTTTTTGAGGTGTGTATATTTGTGACATATATATTAGATGAATGGTTAGCAAATATTTGAGTTAGCACATTTAATATTCTAACAAACACTTCATATTTGAAGTTGAATGTGATAATATCAAAAGACTATTTATTAGCTTAATTGCTTAAGTATAAATAAATACTCACAAAATTATTATAAGCACATATTTAATGCATTGTATTTAATCTCAATAATACTTCAACTCTACCAAAAATAATTTGGTGAAAAATATGAAAAGTCAACTACTCACTGGGTTGGAAACAACTTATCATAAATAACATTA